GTTCGCACAGTAGCATCACTTCTGGTCATTGTGACGACCAATCACTTACACTCACACATCCCTTATTATCACTCAACCTCTCTGCTGCGGTGGGCGTTTGTGCGTGTTTACTGAAACCCCGAGGCGACACTTATCTGAAACACTGAACTCAGCAGAATTGAAAAAAAAAGCCTCTTGATCTCATTACCAGACGCTCTTAGTTCGGCACTTTTTCCACTAGGAGGACCAAATGGGGCCAAAAAAACACGACGGGTGACAAAAGCTGCTGCATCTAATCAGCTTTATGATGAGGAGGGAGGCGAGGAGTGGTAATCTAAACCCACCCCTCTTTCCACTCACCTTCAATAATTGCAACAAACTCCAAATCAAGCAGAAAGGAGTTCAGGAGTTTTATGTTGTGTGAGTGTTTCCTCCTTGTAATTGTGTTTGCTAGATTTAGGATAAATTGAGGCTGAAGGTCGGTGGTCCTTCAACACCTGTCAGCTTCAACAATAAGGTGTAACACACACAAACACACACACTTGGACAGAGTCAAGGTAAGGTCAGCTGAAAGATAGACCCTGCAGTTTACAGCTCATCACGTTTCAGTCTGCAGCTTTACCTCTTTCAGGAATTTGATTCAATTTCCTCAGTGACCCAAAAGCAAAACACACACATTCTCTAAGTACTGTACGCTGCATACGCATCAGAATCAGCAGGTCTGCATGGGAAAGGAACTGCCTCTGGCCAAGAAACAAATTGGCTCACTGGTAAGTCAGCCTTGAATTTGATTAGCTCACAATATGCACCAGATTTCTCCCTGCAGTTTCAACCCGCCTCCTTCTCCAACACGTGCATGTTTACAGAAGATGACCTACAGCTACACGTTAGATGTCCTGTGAAAGACACGGAGCAATGGATACACACCACACGGCACACCAGTCTCCATTACATCGTTTTCAAACCAAAACCATGCTGGTACCAMAGAGATACAAACCTTTAAGAGAATCTATAAGCATCAGGTGCAGCWGTCCAACAACTGCATCAATAGTCTTCCTTTAAAATGCACTATAGTCACCTACAGACTTATTTTCTTCAGCAAAGATTCAGAATATATATAAATAAATTCTCTTTTATTTGCAGCCATGGTAGTTTTTCCACTCACAGAATTGTTCTGTCAGGCCTGCACCTCTCTGTCGGCTGGAAGCCAGTGTGGATCATGCTGATTCCCTGACAAATGGTTATGATTTTTCCAGTGGTGGACAAAGTGCTAAGTTTCCTTACTTCAGTCAAAATATTGATCCAACTGGTCAAATGTTATTTCAATAGATGTAAAAGTTGCTCTGTCAAATTATTACTCAAGGTAAAGTGCTTAACTTTTTTTAAATACTGAATTTTATTTGAGTGTAATCA